ATGAAGTCTTAACTTTTCATGTATGATAATGTTCATCATAATCCAAGTAACAGATTACATTAAATATGTGGAGAACCATTGCCTCAGTTCTCAAGATAGTCTCCATGTTTAAAGCTCAATGCACTTCTTCCATCATTCCACGAGCTTCATTCAACTAATTTGGAAAATTACAGATGCGATTCTTCCCCCACATTTTATGTTTTAGAATTCCACATAATTTTGTTAACTGAATGTATCTCATTGACAGATTATTTAAATTATTATTATTATTTTTTTTTTTTTTTTTTATATAAGATATTTGCTTTTATGTTTGGAACAAAGATGATTGTGAACTTACTCAAAAATACTTAAAACACAACTCATTTAGTAACAATTTGCCACATTCTGTTCTTTACAATCTTACTTATCATTAATGATGTCATTGTATCATGAATGTGGTGCTTTCATTGTCATAAAAATATTCTTATTGCTAATCTTTTGACTTTCATAATTTTATTCCTATAATGCTGCTCCTTCTTAACAAAAGTTTCACTGAAATTATTGTTTATTACCTTGTCATAACTACAAACACACCTTTCTATGTGAAGCTGTACTTCACCTGTTACACCTAGGCAACATTGTTGTTAATGTTGTTTACATAACACAGGCTATAGTTTATTAAATAATAAATAAAAGACATTGTTCCACTGACAGATAAATAAATACAATGCACTGAATTACTTCTGGCACTTTTAAAAAATTTTTAACAACAGCACAAATTACCCCTTGAGTTTAAAAAAAAGTTTAGAAATTAAAATTTGTCAATACTTGGAGAACTGAAATGTCTGTTTAAAAACATCAGATGTATGAAGTGTTGCCCATGCAAACTGTTCCTGAGAAGACTGAAAAAATGAAAGTAATATGGTTCTAGGCAGTGGCGTGCAGAGGTTCTATGATGCCCGGGGGCCTTGTACCTAAGACCTTGGGAACGGCGGAAAGGGTTCTACTATTCGATGAGACTCTTTGTGTTGGATGCCCGGGCCCCGGCACCTTTTGCTCCCCCCTCTACACGCTACTGGTGCTAGGTCAAGACTATAAGCAGGACAGGGAAGGACTGGCCATCCAGATTTCTTAATCTGATACAGGTATTACACAATAAGCAATATGAGGCCAGTATTATCATACAGGAGGAGAATATTTGTTAAATACATCTTACTCATATCAAGCATATGGGAAACAAAGTAACATTTCTTCTGAACACCCCTCAGACTATTTTGTAGTTTGTTTCAAACTTAATCCACAAGTTACTCAAACATACATGAAAATACAGATTAACAACTTTAAGAAAAGTTTAAACCATAATACAACTCTATCTTAACAAAAATTGCAGTAAGTTGATATTCCACATACTTATTCAGTCATTATTATGTTTAATCACACAAATGACATATTAAAATTTGCTTTTTTTTTGTGAAGAAAAATTCAATCTCAATTATTTTAGTGTAGCCTCAAAGCATATTGTCAAATTCATATTAAAATGCCTTTGCTGGAAATTTTTAACACTATAAATTAACATTTATACTTGTCATTAGTATTAGGCTTATTGTTTTCCTAACACTACATTTTTTAATCAGTCCCTCAGATTTTTCAAGAAGAAGAATGTATAATAGTATTTCAACCACACCATGTCTGCCACATCTATTTCAGATGAAGCGTTTTTCCCAATATAGAGAATTTCAGACCAGCTGGGACACAACAAACACAGCAGTGGTTGGAACAGTATTTAAATAAGCCATTTGTTACAACAACAATTGTCATGGTGTGTATACAATTTCTAAGCTGGCAAAGCATGATCATTATAAATTATGCTTGTGATAAAAAATCAGTTTTAAGCCTATTATATTTTTAACACTACATTCTTTACTTTTTTTTTCAACAAGAAGTGCAAGGTATTAGGTCGACAAGAAGTTAATGTCACTTTTTTAGATGAAAAAATCCGAACAACTTGTATATCAAAACAAAACATTTATTAAATGAAATAGTCTCC